AAAAAAAAAAAAGAAAAAAAAATAGAGAAAACTTGCCCACCGCGGTGCTCCTTCCCTACGAAAGCCCTCATTTAAAAACTTGCATGTTCGTGATATAACAAGACATAACGCGTTTCATCGACGTCATTTCTTGATATACTGACCTTCGGATGGGTGACCGCCAACTACATTTTTACCCAAGGTATAATTTTTGGGAAAAAATATGCAATGACTATCCCTTGATTTTTTAAAAGGAAGTTCAGTGATCTGTGAAAAATTCTAAATGAGTCTTTGGCTAGGAACGAGTATGTGAAGTCGGCTGTTCAATCCAGTTTTCGAATGCTTAGACTTTCCAGCATTAGATGACTTGAAAGTATTGGGGGAATTAGGACGAAAAGCCCGAAACTGAGGATAAGACAGAAATGCAATCATGAATTCCCCTTTTCTAACCGTATTCTTGACTTCTATTCGAGCTTTTTGACTTCCATGCGCTTTGAGCTTATAGTAGAAAGGAATCAGTTTTTCTTTGTGCTGTAACGATCTTCAGCTGCAACCCGGCCCTGAGAAAAAATTGAATTCGGTGATCCGCAAGTGCTCAGATAGAGCTTTCAGTATAGAGAGAGGAAGGCAGACTTCCTGCACTTCGGTATGACTAACCTTATAGGAATCAGATAATAGAATTGCTACTACTGACCACTGCTGGCTGTTAACTCTTTACTTATAATCCTATAAACTGAATGTTACAGTCGAAAGTAACTCACTCGAGTAGCATTCTTGTAGCGGATCACGTCCGTTTGAGCGAGGAAGCTCAGTTTGCATGCGTGTGTTCGATGGGTATCGATTCAGCTCATTGACCTTATTTCGAAGCCGGTTTGGAGATGTTGTAGCAAACCAGTTTATTATGAGGTCTATATCATTGGGATAATGTTTGTGGACCTCCTTTTATAAGACAACCTCAGATTTTTGTACCTTCATTTCAGATGACTGTCGGTTTCGGAGACCTCTACCCGCAAGGGGATATGGAGTACATGCTCTCATCGATGGGTGAGTTGAATGCAGCCATCTTGTTGGCTTCTTTTTTTTCAAAGACTGTTCAAAAATCGTTTGTAAGTTATTGAGTGTGACTCATCCAGGACTGATTTTCATCACGAAATACATAGCTGTTCCCGAAAACGTCTCTGAAAACATCGCAGTAAAGTCTACTGAGCTTCAAAAGTCATTAAATGAGTGAGCCCCTACTTCAACCAGAGTGATTTTTGGTGACTATGGTTATTCAATCGTGAGTATCATAGACAACCACCCCCCCCCCCCCCCCTCACCCTTTATAGTTGTTGAAAGATAGAATTTAGATTCAAACGAGTGGTTCAGCATCTTTTCTTATTATCTATCCATGTTCTCGGGTGGCCAACCATATTAGTAATTGGTTAAATTGAAGAATGCTTTTACACGAATCGAAATTTCAGCAATTTCATTGTAGCGTGAAAATAGTTTTCTGGAGCTCTGTAGAAGCTTACTAGCCGAATTATGTCATTATCTACTGATCTATACCAACTACTTTTTAATTTGTTAGTTCCGGGAGAAAGTGAGGCATCTGAAGATTTCCCACCTCGAGATCATCGTGTCTCATGTTGGGGTTTTCTGGGTACCCTTCCAAAAAGTCAATAGTAAAGCAAACCCAGTCATGACTCAGATTCTGATGAAAGGGTGCTGAAGGTTTGGTTTACCAACTGATACATCGTACTAACTCGTCCACGAAACGAATTTTTGCATAGTTTACTCACTTCCTTTTCTCTGTAGTTGCAGTTGGTTGTCAAATGGAGGCGAACCATCTGAAACTCAATTTCAACCTTTTTTGATCTCCCTTTTGTGAAACATCTAGGCTGTGTGTTATACGTTTTGGATAAAAATACCTGAGCGACTGTACAACTGCAGCAACAGGTTTCCTGGAAGATCTATACATTATGATGCAATTTCCTTTGGCTGGCACTATTTCAAGACAATTGTAAAACGTCGGCCGAGCTCACTTTCGAGGGTGGTTTTACGGAAGTTCTGCTTCTTGTTTCTCTGTATTCCTTTTTTGAAGCTTGGATTCTACGTTTGAATGCCCGTATATAGCTAACACACTCGAGCCCACTTTATGCGTTACCTTCAAAGACCTCTTTCGTGAGCGGTTTGGGAAACTTTCTGGAGAGCAGCTCTTTTCTCTGCTGAGGCCGTGGCGGGTGCTTTACATTCTCTATTTCCGGTTTCAATGGCGAAGTGGACATCATTGTGAGATGTTTTATCGTCAGAGCCTGAATGACTCTTTCGTTGTTCCACGGGCAACCGGCGATTCGTGAACGCCTCTTAGTGACCTTGATTCATAGCTAACGATAACAAACACATGAATCGGTCCCATCACAACGAGGTTCAGCACCTGACCGTTAAAAGCAAGGTGAGCTCATGGAACTAGCGATGTGAGTGCGTTGCAAACGAGGCATGAACGGGACCGATTGGGCTGAGAGAGACGAGCTGGTACTTTTCTCCCTATACTTTAGACGGACCGAATATCATTTCAAAGTGGTCTTTTATGTTAATAAAATTTTGATTTGCGCAAGACAGGGAACGTGAGTCGACGATATACTTTCACTAAAACAAAGCTCCTTTCCTTCATCCAAAATAGAATGATCGTCCATGTATAAGCATAACATGTTGGATGCATCTAGCGAACCTCGAGGGTGACCGTAGGTTTTGAGGATGTAAGCTATTCGGAAATAACGGATTGATTCGCTGGAATTCGGCGGTGCAGCTCAGAAGAAGAGGAGTGTGGGAGCAGCTTACTAAGTCGAACTTTGACTTTCCCAAGTTCCTCAAACTAAGGGGGCTTCAGTCCCTTCATTCGGGTTTTGACGCTAATTGAGTGAGTTCAAAATGATTAAAGGACCTGTTCGAGCGACCTGAATCGACTTCTCGATGAATATCATAATATTTGCCATAGCTTTATGTTAGTGGATACCAAATTTATCTTTCTATGAACGAAGAAGAGCGAATGTGCAAATAAGGCGGAAGTAAGTGAGTAGTCAATTAAGAATAAGCAGATTCCAACTTTGGAACTGAGATTTCGGGTTTTCCATGTGGCTTCTACTCACTCTTTGAATGCCTTGCCTTGGGAATCTGTTGATTCAACTAACTAGGACAGGTTGACCATGTCACATCGGACCCACTCGCAGACCAATCTACCCAGTAGGCGGGGCAATTCCACTTGATGTACCAAGGAGTGAATAGTCAGTCTTCAGTGCATTTTGAAGAAAACGAAATTTCTCCTCTTTCAGTGTTCCTCTTCGTCGGATTGGTGTTGACAACACTGGCAGTGGATGTGATGGGATCCGTATGTATCGAACGAATCCACTCGCTTGGCAGAGGTCTGGACGCTATGGCATTGCTCAGAGCCCTAAAAGGAGCCAAAACTCACAAGTAAGTATCTGGTGGGATGAGAGATCTCCCCATCTTTCTCTCTGCGTCTGTGTCTCACCGACGTCTCCGCTTCTTCAGGTCGCCGCCCACCCCGCTCTGGTTCGCGTTTGTACCCAAGGACGCGGCAGCGATCCCGTACATTGACGATGCGAATGCGGCGCGTTCTGTTGCTGCTCGTGAAGCCGTCACCCCTAAGGGCTCAATTACGGCCTCCGAGCACACCTGACGAGACCGGCACTACGCCCGAGCTGGCGATGTTGTTCGACGGCGTCGTCGAACCAGCCACTGCATTCTTGGACGTGGTAGCCGGTCTCGATCCGGACTTGGACCGGGTTGTGTGCTTCGGCCCGGAACCGATTCGTCAGTACCTCATTCCACAGCTGGTTCGTGAAGACCTCCAAATCCCGTTCATTCTGCTCAATTACTATGATTTGAGTAAAATTAGCGCTGTACAGTCCACTTCTGATGACTTTGACGAGGAAGCACGTCAGATGACGTCATCTCTTGAAGAGTTGTCTGAAGGTTCGTTACCATTGTCGATCGTTCATTGATATCTTCTCGAAATGCACATTTTGCCTTCATTATGCAATCCTTTCTATCTATTATTATGCGGTGTCCTTTAATGAAAACTTTCTTACTGTACGTTTGTGACCATATTGTTGGAGTTCTGCAAAACTAGAGTGGTATCTTGGAGACTACGACCTCCATACCATCTCTTGAGATCGATTTCTCTCGAAACAAATCGATTTGACCCAGTTATTTCACATTCTCGTATCCATTCTGATTTGCGCAGTTTGTGATCGCAAGACTGAGAAACGGGCCAGTTTTTTTTTTNTTTTTTTTTCGCCACGTGTATAGGCCCTGTAGGCCCTCGCTGAATGCCTTAGTTTTTTTCCAGCGAACTTAGAAAGAGCGTGACCTGCGCAAGTTCCGTTTACACAACTGAGTCATCCACTAGCAATTATTGGACACACACATACATACACAGACAGGGCACGGCACCAGCAGTCGCCGGCTGTGGAAAAACCCAAGAGGGTCATCGATTTTTTCCGTCAGCTTTGGTCAATAAGTCAATTGGACGGACACTTTCGAATATTGTACTCGCGTGGTGGTTGAGAATTTTGCGAGATGGTCGTGGACTGATGTGTTAAGTGTCCTTGATCAAAGTTTTTTTCCCCGCTCCTTAGGCGTCCCTTTAGTGGCCGCTCCTGATAGTATTGCCCCTCAAATAGCCCTAGCGCCAGATATATGTGTGCACGTCACCATTGTTGCAGAACAGCATCCGCTTTTGCTAGCTAAAGTCACCCCACCGTCCGTTACCAATTGATGACTGTGAGATGTTGCAGCAACTACAGCTCCTCTATTTTTCCGTCAATAATCAGATCTACCTGTTTTTAATTACTATTAGTGCAATTATGGGGAACTTCTTGAGGAATCCATTGATCGGTTGCTATTCTCATCCCCCTCCAAGGGCGTTCCAAAAGTTCATGGGTAACCATATTAAGGCTATACCTTTCATGGTTTCACGTGGCATATGACCTCTAAGTAGGTCAACCGAATACTTGGTGATGACTGTAATTTTTCGGTTTTTCAAGCTTTCTTTCATTAGACCCTGGTTCCACGATTTGCAAACTTACTTAGTTTGTAGTTCCACGGCTTACAATTTTGGGCGTTCCCCACAAAAACGATGTGGACTAGCTCCTTCATATACTCATTGAAAGTCTCTGACGTTCCTATACACTGCTGGGTTACATTGTTTCGTCTTCAATAGAAAATTTCCACTGTTCAATCACTCCGCCGAAACGGGTATTCTTGTTGGACTACAAATTAGCAAGCTAGTCTTGACCCGACGAGCTCCTTTTACCGCTGACGACCTTCGCAGACACGAATAGATAGGCGGAGGTAACGCATAATTGCGAGTGAGAGAGATATGTATGTCCACGGTCGTTCGCAGCGCAAGAGAATACTGCCTTCTCAAATGAAAACTTCCCCGTAAGAAGTTAGGGGATGAAATTATGCAGGTGACATGACTTTCATCAACCAATAATATGTAGAATGTAGCGTAATTCCGTGGTAACACCTATCTCTTTCTGGACGTTCTCACAAAAGCTGGCTGGAAGGGAAGACAAATGACCGAGTTCATTAGGTCGGGACTAGGTGGAAACTCGTCCAGTTTCGGCTTCTGTTCTTTGATAAAAAGTTCACGGAAGATTGAAGCTATTTTGCCTAGGCGGATTCTACCATTCCCATAGAAAAAGGGCTTATAGCCCCGTGATATCCCGGAAAAGCTCATTGATTAGAGTTAGACACCACGGGCCGAGGATCTGCTGAGCTAGAGTATCCATTTCTTCCTTGGAAAATCGGACTGCTCCTTCAAATGTCTTAGCTAGTTTGANGGAGGAATAAAAAGAAAGGGGGTTAAGGGAAGTCCTACATTTTTGAAGGGAAAAGGGAAGGCAACTGATGAATGTCGACACAAAGCACCTCAGTATTGAGATGTATTATACCTACACGGACCCTAATAAACGCTTTCGCGACGACCCACTGTTGTACAGTTGATTGGGACGGCGCGGGTATCCGGTCAGACTTGAGAACATCCAAAGTAAAGAACAGGATACCATGCGGTCGTTGTCACCTCCGCAACCAATCGTTTTTAGGGGTTGTTCCGAAAACTAGTGCATTCCGATCATCGCCGCACGGTCTAGAGAAAAAGATCATACCAGGTCGTCTCCCTGCTGCTATCGTCCTTGCTACGAAGTTATTTGGCTCTCCGAGTTTAATAATATTTCACACACCTGGCTATTTCGCGTTAGTAACACTTGTGCAAAGCTCGCCACAGAGCGATGGCTGTTGAAGAAGAATCAAGACCGAATTTCCATAGAAAAACTGCTTCGAACGAGAAACATCCAGTTGCGACGAAAACTGCCCAAGATTTGCAGGTCGCCCCTGCGAAAAGGATTCATTGCAATCGGCCCACATTAAGAATCGTGGCGCGGGGAACCATTCAACTGACCGGTAGAGCGGAGGAATCTTACGGGTAACCAATGATGCAGAAAACGGAGATTAGTCATTAGCTGTGTGTGAAGTAGCATTCATGCATTCATGTTGCGAATTTCTCTGGTACTAATCCTATCCCGACCTATGGAGCCCACTTTGGGAGTAGTTTGGGTGATTTGGCGTCTACCTAACCATAAGAGTTGAAGAGCATACACCAGTTCCTATTAGAGGTCTTAAAAATTACCGTGTATAGCGTGGGTACAGATCTAACCGCATTCCCTGTTAGGAAGAATGCATGGTTATGATTTTGTGAGCTGAGCCACTTTCGTGTTGCTTCAATCTGTGAACCAACGCCTTTCTTTAGAAATTCCGTTACGAGAATTCGTCAGCTTACTAATACTTGACAGAGGCGCATATATGATGTACTAAACTGTAAGTACATCGTCCTTTTTGCTGTCGTCCAGACTCGTTACTGCACTTGAATCATTTCAGAAAACGTTAATAGCTTTACAACGGGAGTGGTGCCTAGGATATCTCAATACACAGCTTGGGCTATCCGATTGTGATCCAATCGTTGCAGACAGCCGGCCCATTAACGGTATTTCCCCTTGAGTTCTAAATTAGGTCACTTCGCACCTCCACTCACTCGTTTGGGGGCTGACCTGCTTGATCGGCTGATGACTGCTGGACTCGCTGCCAGACAGTGCAGTGGTATCGGTTCCACAAAGGAGAATTCTATTACCATTACTACTTCAATTGCCTATTTCAAAACAGCAAGGTAAAATGTAGAAAATCAAAATTATCCATCATGACTATGTAATTTTATTGATGCCATTGAGGAACATGCCTGCAGACGAAGGGAGACAGTCTCTTCCCTATCGAGGTAGAGTCTAAGAAGGATAAATCTCGCCACGTTAATCAACCCCGTCTGAGAGATACGCCCACGCATTCGACTTCCATTCAGAAAAGTAGTGGCAGATTGAATGCGTTTATGGCCTATACAATGACTTGCAGTGGCCAGCCGATGTACAAGTCGGGTGCATTCATCCTACCCGACGAATCTGAAACCAACTAACCGATCACGGAGGGTTGGGAAGCTTGGGTGGTTTTGGCGAGAATCGGTCCGGGATTTGTAACCGTGACCGTGCTTGTGTGAAGTGCGCCACTTACCGCTACCCACTTCCGCCCTCCTGATTTATAAAGTCTTTTTATTTTCTCACAAGGTTGGCGATTTGTGGCCAAAACTTCAGCCTCGGACGGGACTTGAACCCGTACATGTCCTTTCCGGGGACCGTGCTCTTATCCCTTACACTACCGAGGCCCCGCTTGCCCTCGCCTTCTTAATGGCCACGTACAACGTGTTGAAACCTTGTGAGACTTTCGGATTGCGTACTGCGGCGAAATAACAGCAGTTAACAAAAACATCAAGCCTTTTTATTTTGTTTTTGACTTGATGCTTTATTAACTGCTGCTATTTTGCCGCAGTACGCCTTGCGAAAACCCCAGAAGGTTGGCGATTTATGGACAAAACTTCAGTCTGGGGCCGGACTCAAACTCATACTTGTGCTTTCCGGCAATCTTCTTAACTATCCATTAATTCCTTTATTTTCACGCTTTACAACATTAAAAATTAAATGTGTGCATGAAGTTTTTTTTTTGTTTTCACTCATGGTTTGCGATGTAGCGAACTATCTGATTTGTAGGATCAATATTAGTTGGACTAATTGTTAGTCTGACAGAGACGTCATCAGTTAGCGAGGCAGTGGGCAGTGAAATGATCTATCGGGACGAAATGTCGCCCCTCCATCTTCCCAACTTTTTACTGTCCTGTTTTCTGTTCAGAATATCTTATAACCCTATTTTTCAACTTTAAGACTTTTTAACGAAAACAAAACTCGTGTGGGAATGTTCTGCAGAAAGTCTCCATTTTTAAACTCTCGATTCAAATTGTAGGAAACTGGAGCTCAGGCACTTCCCTTGTGTAACTTCGGTGAACTTAACTGATCAAATATTTAACACGATTTCTGTTTATTTGTTCAATGTAGCCCTGTTCTAACAATTCATAAAGTTATTTTGCCCAATCTCGCCCTTACAATTTTTGAAAAAGAGGCTTTGTACTCAAATGTCTAGTTCCTGTTCTACGTACTCTTTACTGCTATACCTTATCTGATGATCTCGGATCAAGAACCGTGTTATATATTGAGAGATCTTCCGCTCAGTTTCGTTGAACCTTGCGCGGCAACGTTGCAGATGTTATCGTTCGCATCACTTTTAATATTACATATTGCTTTTTTCGAGCGTATGTGGTGTAGTGGTAAGTGGCGTAGTATCACACACGCGTGGTCACGGGTTCGAATTTTGGATCGATATCCGCCTAGGCCAACTATGCCCTTTATCTATCCTGGTTCGAGTGATTGGTACCAGACTCGTTTGAGAGGATAGGCGTACTGGCTCGTTCATCGGCTGGCCACCGTAAGTCATTGTATAAGGCCCACATGCATTCAAACGTCATTACTATTCTGAATGGAAGTCGAATGTGGAGGCGCACCCCTCA